GGGCTGACCAATCGCCGCGCGCCGCCGGCAGGGACAAGGCGCCCATTGGTCCGCAGCGCGGGGGATCGGCAGGGTGGGCGGGGCGCGCTGACGCCGCCGCGGCGCCATGTTGGGGAAGGGCGGAAGTTGTCCCGGGCGGCGCAGGTGAGCCCGTGTCACATTCCCAGGGGTTTAGTGAGGGCGGGACAGCGGGAAAGGGGGAGTTTCGGCGTGGCTCTGAACCCCCTTCTCTCCGCAGGCCGCTGCTGTGCCCGTGGGATGAGCCGCCTGCCGCGCCGCGCGGTGCTGGCACTCATGGGGCTGCTGTTCGCCCGGACCATGGCCTGGACATCCAGCGGGAAGACACACGCGGAGCTGGTCAACAACCTCTATAGTGAGTCCCAGCAGGATCCGCTGGAATGCCAGTGTACGGATATTTAATGCCAGTGTACGGATGTTTAGTGTGACGCTGTTCACTCTGAAGGGCTGGGGTTGATATTCCTGAATTTCGGCCTTTGTCCCAGCCTGAACTCGTTCTATTTATAACCAGAGACAAGGTGTTACGCCAGAAAGGGCAGGAAAGCCTCTGCACGCTTTCCTTCCCTGCCTCTGGAAGTGTGTGACGCCCTTTAAAGAGTTGCACCTCGGAGCCTGTGGGTGCTGCCGAGTGTCCTGGACACCCAGGCTGTGCCTTCAGCTCCGGGGGTCGGAGCTCCTGGTGCCCAGTGCTCCTGCTCCACTCCAGACAGCTGGCTGGGACACACACAGAGATAGCTCTGAGCTTCCCCTGCCACTGGAGCTGGTTACTCCCTGCCAGAATTCGCCCAGAAAGGCTGGAAGGGACGTGGAATGTCTCTGCAGCAGTCGCTCTTGAGTTCACTGTGGAAACCTGAGCTGGAGTCTCTGCTTTTTGGCATGCAACGTGACTCCATTTCTCTCCCATTACACTTGGCAGTGCCAGAAATCTGGATGCAGGTCACCACCACCCTCTGGGGATGGGCTGCTGGCTGGGACCGTAGTGGAAATGGGAAAGGATGTCCTTCCATTGGCATTTGTTTTCTGTCCCTCTCACATTGAGGCTGAATTCCCCCAGATCCACAAACTCCCTGAATGTGCTTCCCCTTCCAGATCTCTTCTTGCTGGTGTGCTGAGGGTTTCAGTCCTGCCTGTCTCTCTTCCTTCCTTCCCAGAAAAAGGGATCGTTAAGTCCCAGCGAGTCTTCGATGTGCTGTTGGCCACGGACAGAGGTCACTACATCAAGTATTACCCGTACATGGATTCTCCTCAATCCATTGGTGAGTCATTTTGGGAAAAGCTCTAGCTGTGGAATCCCCATCCCTGGAAGTGTGCAAGGCCAGGTTGGGTGGAGCTTGGGCATCCTGGGCTAGTGGAAGGTGTGTCTGCCCATGGCAGGGGGCGGAATGAGATGAGCTTTAAGGTCTCTTCCAACCCAAACCATCCTGGGATTCTGTGAAATTCTATTTTTAGGGGAAGGTGTGGGAGAACTAAGGACTGTTCCCATGGGCAATTTTATTCTTTATCAAACAACTTTGTCACCTGTTTCCTTTTAGGCTACAAGGCCACGATCAGCGCCCCACACATGGTAAGATGAAAACTCTTCACTTCAAACAGAAATGGAGGGAATTGTTTATTTCCCTTTTTATATTTCATTTGTCTTCAAGTACAGAAGTGGAACACATGATTATTCTGCTTGTTTCTTTAGGGATTTTTTGTTTTTAAGAGGAGTTT